CTCTACCGCGATTGCTTCAACGCGTGCTGCACAAGTTTCTGGACATCTAGGCTGCTGCAACAGTGAGTCTCCAGCAACATCACTATGCATCACTGTGATCCAAGCAAAAAAGACTCTGAAGACAATGTCTCTTCGCTCGCACAAGCATTTGCTCAGCTCGACGCTGTTCACATGTTAATGCATTCCCTTGCACAGCAACGCGCACTCACTTGCAGCACTGAAAGTGTTAAAGCAGTGCCAAGTGCAGCACATTCTAACATCGCCAAAGCAATCAAGCTTGACTGTCTTTCATGAACTGTGAGCACTCATGACTGCTTGTTACAAGATCTGCATGCCATAACGATCAACGTCAAGACTATTGGCAAGATTAAATTCAATCTGCTCACAAAACATTATGAAAGCAGAATCTTGACGCTTTCACTCGAGCAGGCTTCGAGGATGTAGCACAACGACTTGATTGGTGACAATGAACATGAACAGCACTTCCTCGTCTCCCCTACATGGAGGAGGTCGTGCTGTCTGAGGCCGAAGCATGATTGGATGAGATCGCCCCTGCATTGTTACTTCGCCTGTTGTTACAGGGATGACACACACACACACACACACCCAATTATGAGGGGGAAAAAGCCAACTCGCGAGCTTCTGCCTCTACCGCGATTGCTTCAGCACATGCTGCACAAGTTCCTGGACATCTAGGCTACTGCAACACTGAGGCTCCAGCAACATCACTATACATCAATGTGGTCCAAGCAAACATGAATCTGCAGACAATGTATCTTCGCTCGCATAAGCATATGCTCAGTTTAATCTCTGAACGGCCGCGTTGTTCTCATGACAATGCATTACCTTGCACAGCAACACGCACTGACTTGCAGCACTGAAAGTTTTAAAGCAGTGCCAAGATTGCAGCACATGCTAAAATCGCCAACGCATTCAAGCTTGACTGTCTTTCATGAACTGTGAGCACTCATGACTGCTTGTTACCAGAGTTGCATGCCATAACAATCAACGTCATGAATATTGGCAAGATCAAATTCAATCTTCTTACGAATCATTGTGAAAACAGACTGTTGAGGCTTTCGCTCGAGCAGCCTTCAAGGATGTAGCACAACCACTTGATTGGTGATCATGAACATAAACAGCACTTCCTCGTCTCCCGTACATGGAGGAGGTTGTGCTGTCTGAGTCCGAAGCATGATTGGATGAGATCGCCCCTGCATTGTTATTTCGCCTGTTGTTACAGGGATGACACACACACACACACACACACACCCCTAATTATGGGGGGGAAGAAGCCAGCTCTCGAGTTTCTGCCTCTACCGCGATTGCTTCAACGCGTGCTGCACAAGTTTCTGGACATCTAGGCTGCTGCAACAGTGAGTCTCCAGCAACATCACTATGCATCACTGTGATCCAAGCAAAAAAGACTCTGCAGACAATGTCTCTTCGCTCGCACAAGCATTTGCTCAGCTCGACGCTGTTCACATGTTAATGCATTCCCTTGCGCAGCAACACGCACTCACTTGCAGCACTGAAAGTGTTAAAGCAGTGCCAAGACTGCAGCACATTCTAACATCGCCAAAGCAATCAAGCTTGACTGTCTTTCATGAACTGTGAGCACTCATGACTGCTTGTTACAAGATCTGCATGGCATAACGATCAACGTCAAGACTATTGGCAAGATCAAATTCAATCTGCTCACAAAACATTATGAAAGCAGAATCTTGACGCTTTCACTCGAGCAGGCTTCAAGGATGTAGCACAACCACTTGATTGGTGACAATGAGCATGAACAGCACTTCCTCGTCTCCCCTACGTGGAGGAGGTCGTGCTGTTTGAGGCCTTTTGTTACAGGGATGACACACACACACACACGTTGACATAGACGAAGTCATAGGCACGGAGCCAACGAGACATAGAGACATGGAGACGCCGACATCCGGCAAAATCCAGGATCCGTCAGGCGCATAAGGTCGGTTCGGAAACATGTAGCAGGGTCCGCAGAAGTATTTCGCACATATTCCGAAGTTGTGCTTGGAAAGCATTAGGGCATATCTTGTGCTTTCTGGGACTTTTTAAGATCACTCAGAAGTTCCCAAGATATTGTGCGCACAGGGACCTGGACTTTGACATAGACATAGGCATTTACATACAGCAGGCCGCCTACATACGTCCATACGTACGTACACACATACATGCATACATGTGCTCATACACACATACATACATACATGCATGCATGCATGCATGCATACATACACACACACACATCCATCCATCAATCCATCCACCCATCCATACAACAATACATCTATACATCCATACATCTATACATTCCATACATCCATACATCCATACGTCCATACAGCCATGCAACACATACATCCATGCAAATCCATCCATCCATGTGTTTGCGCATGTGGAGGGGAGCATGGGTATGCCTTGGTGCATGCATGCATGTCCTTCCGGCTTTTTCAGGCCGGCACTGTTCTTTGCTTCACACTGCAGCGCTCCGATGAGGGCAAGTCGCTGGGGTGGGGCACCTGCACCTTCGCCGCTTCCCCGAACGTGTTGAGAGAGAGGGTCAGTGCAGGACAACGAATTGCAGGAGTTCGGGGCCGGGGGCTGGGCCACAAAATGGTGCGCCGATCCTTCTTTCTCGGTGTCAAGCTGTACTTGGGGTGACGAGCCAAGCCCTGGGCCTCTATTCTGAATTCAATGTTTTCCAAGGGCCAAGCCCCAGTTTCCGTGCATTCTGCAGCGATGTCAGGCTTCGGTGATCCCTAAACCGCTGAAGCCATAGGGCTCCGAGCCCTGGATCTGATCCACACCCTTTCCATCACGTTGAAATCAAAGTCTTTCATAGATGGCCTTGAAGCCAAGGATGGTGAAGCCGTCGCACGCCGCGCCATCGAGCGTTTCAACGGTGCGTGGGTGGACAACCGGAGGCCAGGGCAAGCGACCTTAGAAAGAAGTCTGTTGTGCACCCAGTCCAGGAATTGACCTTCGCATGCTGACGGCAGGGTTTGAAGGGACTGACTTATCCTGGTTGGCTCATGGCGGTGTTCGGTGTTGACGGCAGCTGGATGGTTGGCTCTTGCTTCGGACGATGTTTCCTTCATCCGCGTCATTGCTCCGAGTAGCTTAAACCTTCCTGAACATCCTGAACCTGGAAGGTGCGGCCTTCCAGCTCAGACCCAGCCTGACCCAACTTCTGGCCGAAATCTCCAAACGCTGACGCCTCAAAGCTTCGATCCGCTGCCAGGATTCAGCTCGAGCTGGACTGCCGGCAGAGAGTGGGAATCTGCAAGTTTGGTTCAAACTCGGGCTTGGGATCTTCTCAGACTCTGGGTCAAGCCAAAGGCCATCAGCCAGAAAGCAGAGTTCTGGGCTCTTCTGCAAATTCGAGTCGATAAGCCATGCTTCTAGCCCGGTGCTGACGATTTCGCCACCTTAAACAAGCTTCTGCAGCATGTCGTACCGGCATGTTGCCTGCCATGTGCGAAGCGTGGACAGGCTTAAAGGCTTTTGTGTGTCGCTCAAGAGCCTGTCTGCAGGATCCGAATCCGCCAAAGCAGCTTGGTGGCACCGGAGTTTTTCAGGGGCCTCAGGCAGAGGCTGCCTTCCGTGGCCTTCCACTCGAAACTAGGCATCAGGTGGTGAAGATCCCCGACTAGCCTCGAAGGTCGAGAAACTACTGCAAGCCTCAGCTCCAGATGCTTGACCCTGGAGTTCCGAGGAGCTTCCTCTCCTGTGTGTTCTTCCACAACGTCACGTGGACGACGACTGCCGCAGAGCTGAAGAGGAAGTTCGGGGCCTATGGCACCGTGGAGGACTTGCTCCATCCCGAAGTTCGAGGGTCCGGAGGATGCTTGAACGCTTAGGGCGTTTCGTGGGCTTGAACCTGAGGTTTGCAGCCTTGGCGGCTTCGCGCTTCGGGTTCAACTGAATTGCATGCATGGCATTGCCCAGCCGCCTAAGCAGACGCGCGCCTCCCCGTAGCTCAGTGCGAAACGCCATGAAACGCACCAGGAGTTCGAGCTACGGGTGAAACCCAACGGCCGGTCTCTGGGGATGGGAACCTGCCGGTCACTCGGCCTCCAGAGCCTCTTGATTGTCTCTGTGAGTCAGGGCGTCTGAAGCCTCAAGCTCAACATGCCTTCGGGCGACTTTGCGAGGGCCGTTTCAGGTGTCAGCAATTCCAGTTTGAAGAGCTATTCTCCGGCCAGGTTCTCCTGCTCCAAGGAGGCCAAGAACGCCATCGCGAGCCTCGATGGGCAGATGCTGCACGGCAGAAGGCACATGGGCCAAAAGTTTCCAAGTTGAGGTTTGCGAAGGGCTGCGGTTCTGAAGTCATCCCGCCCTGGTGTGCTCAAGGCCGAATTCGTCGGGTTCTAAGGAGGTTCTGGCCAGCTTGGAGCCTCGAAGAGAAAAATTGGCCACAGACACATTCTTGGCAATCTTGGTTTGAACTCAGTTGCATCCCGTTGTTCGGGCCGTCATGCGCCAGTCAAGCTTCAGACCTTCTCAAACGACATTCGGCCTCCGTGAGCAGCTTCGAGCGCAGGCTCTACCTTTGCCGCTACGACCCTATTGGAGCTGGTCGAGTGCAGGCCGAACAACGGGATGGGTGGGGCGTTGAAAGCGGCGGGCAAAAGGCGGTGTCGTTTTTCCTACTCCAAAGCATAGGTATACAGGCTGGGTCTTTCACAGACGTTCGTCTCCTTCAATTGACCGGCGCTTGTTGTTCAAACGCTCTTTCCTGCCCTCTTCTGGCATCTTGGACTGAACCCCTGGAGCCTGAATCTCGCCTTGGCTTTCAGGCAAGCCGCCCCTGGGAGAACTGCGAGCCCGTGGGAGCCTTGAGTCAGAGAATCCCAGGGCTTAGGCAGGCTTGAGAGAGTGTGGACGTCATAAGGCTTCGGGGTTGTTGCTAGCGCCTGCCATGCCAGGCGAAACACAAGCCCCAGTATTCCTGGCCCACCTGACACTCGAAACGCCCTTGGAGCTATCAGGCAGAGGTCAAGGAAGAAGATGACAGTGACGTGGAAAACCAATGACCGCGGAGCTCCACTGGAGGACTTCCTGAAGTGGCTTGAAGAGGGTTTTGGCATGTTACTGTTCGGCAGGCGGATGCTTTGCTTGGGGTGCTTGTTCCTTAATACTGGTCACCCCCCCAGTAAAACAACACATTGGGGCGAATCCTCCCGAAAACATCCCTGCCCTTTAAACCTGTTCTGAATTAGGGGGGAGGGTTTCGAGGCTCCAAATACCCTCAGAGCACAGTGAGAGCGAGAGCAACAGCAAGAGCAAGAGCAGGAGCAAGAGCAAAAGCGGGAGCATCAGCAAGAGCAGGAGCAAAAGCGGTAGCAACAGGAAGAGCAGGAACAGGCGCAAGAGACGCAGCAGAAGCAGGAGCAAAAAGCCAGAGCGGGAGCAAGAGCCGGAGCAGGAGCAAGAGCAGGTCCCCTCAAAAGTGGCAGTAGAGATTACTTACAGGGACGCTGTCACCCCGCACGCCGCACATCTGCCTCACCCTGCAAGGGCCTTTGCTCTCACTTCGTCGAAGAGATTGCTTACACTTTCAAGAGAGCCTTCTTGCCGAATCTGCCGGGACAGATCTTCTTTGTCCCATAGAATAGGTTCACTAGCGAAGGTTTTGGGATACTTGGGGAAATTTCCTCAAGCTTGTCCCATTATAGGCTCCGACTGGCAGAAGATGTACTTGCCAAAGTGGAGAAACAGCGAGCGGAACTCACGTCAGCTTTGCAGCTTTGATTGACCTGTGAGGCAACGGGATGAATCGTTCGTTCTATGTCCTTAAGCCTTCAGCACTGTTTTGCCAGCACGAGTGGAGGATTGCACCTGCTGCCGTCACAATGAGCTGACAATCAATCACTGGAGCCCTTGAACGTCTGTTGTATGGTTAGGTGTGATAAAGATGTCGGTTGGAATTGTCCTGCCCTTTTTTTAGCCAAACCGGACTCTCTTCAGCTCCGCATGGCAGGCATGGCAAGTCGCGCATAGTTTCTCTCAGCGATATACATTCGATACGTGAAGGGTTCTTGATGACCTGTGACCTTGAAGCAGCGCCATGCTCCACGCAGCTGAGTTTGTGAAATCAGTAATTTCACTGTGCTAGACCTGTGCTTGCAGATGCTCGGAGTGTTGTTGATGTTGAGAGTGTCACGACAGGGAGAACGCATGCAAACGTATCCTTGGCATCTGCACTGTACTGGGATGTGGTCTGTGCTTGGCAGGTCTCTGTTCGTGACTTCAGCAACGAGCCGAGGCTGGCGTTTCAGGCTAGACGTGCTAAGCAGACTGGCTGCAGGCTGGTGGTGCCGTCCGGAAGTGACTTCCTAAAACCTTTGACTAGTCTGCCAGCAGCTGTCCTCGCCGCCCCGCTCCTTCTCTAGTGCCCTTAGGTAGGATCCAATAACTGCGAAACCAGCAAAAAGTTAGGTCCCGCCACGTCCGGGATGATACCCAGACTCCGAGCTTTCTGTGTCAGTGTGCGCTCCCAACTGTTATGAAACAGTCCCCTCGTGACCTTTTCCAGACTTTCTTCAGGCGTGTGGGGACTGGACGCCTTGCTGCGCTGCTGCTCGGCGGAGGGCATGGCCTCGCCGCTGCTCCTACAGGTTCCTTGATAAAGGGAGGTATAGTAGTATAGTGTTCAGCAACTTCCAAACCCTGCCCCGAATGCCTCGCAATATTTTTTCGGGATTTGTGGCGACTCGGGAATGGGTAACGTCGGGATTTGACGATCAAGCTTATGTCGGCCGAGGCTAGGGAGGTGATTGTACCAAGCTGAAATAACGCAGTTCCAGACAATTAGGAAGAGAAGCGCTCGGGAGAGTTTGGGGTCTTGGTACGAAGATTTTGGGTTTGGCGCGGTTGGCCAGCCACACCGACTGTGGAGTCGCCCGATTATGTCTGGTCAACTTCAGGGCGTTCTCTCGCTTGTTGTTGCATTGTACCGTATTGAATGTGTTGCTGGCCGTTCGGTTGGTGCTGGTGGCGTTCTCGGAAAAGTTCGAGCAAGAAAGAGAAGGAAGGAAAGTCACGTTTGGCTTTCTCGAATGGGGGTGGGTCTCGTCCCGGCTTCCCCTTAATTCGGTATTGAGCTTGCCAGTAAGGACCATGCCTAGAGCGAAGAACTGAGGGTGACTAAATCAAGCAAAACGAATTATGAGCGGACTGACAACCAATCAACATCACCGGCAATGCATACCTGCCAAAGAGTATCTTTCCAAAGGCCAACAGATGCTGAGGAGAGAGAGAGAGAGAGAGAGAGAGAGAGAGAGAGAGAGAGAGAGAGAGGTCTCACAACACAGACTGAGACCAGTGCGCGCGCGCGGGAGGGGTCCGCTCCTCCCTGGCTGAGTGCAAGCAAGAGAGAGATAGATAGATAGATAGAGAAGAACCAGCAAGGAACCATAAGAGGAAGGAAGGAAGGAAGAAAACGATAACGTGAGCTTGGTCAGATTGTCGATATGGAAGCATGTCGGATCGGCCCATGCCTCGGTTTCAACACGAACCGAGACATCCATCAGAGCACCGGTCGTTACTTGAAGCAGCTTTTGCGTGGAAGCTTCTAAGGGATCCCGAGCGTCCTTGATGATGCAGATGGACCGGAACGAAGTTTGAAGGTCTCGAGGCGAACTGCGAAGCGCTGCAATGTTCATGCCTCCACAGGTCGTCCAGGACGGGGCGCTGCAACGAGAAGCGAACATGTTGTCTCGTATGCATACTGGACAGTTGATTTGCAGTTGTATCCCAGGCGTTCCGCCTTGTGTTTGTCACCCGTGCGATGTAACGGGTTGCAATGTTGTGAGCCCCATGTCAGCCAGCAGACAGTCACCATGACCTGGCGTTCCGGCTTCGACAGTGTCTAGGTCCGAACCCTGTGGTGCTTGCAACGCTTGCGGTGGCGCGCTGTCGGATGGGAAGCTGGATCAAGCTTTGACACGTCGTTCCAAAGGACCGCTTCCCTGCGAAGAGGCCAAAGAAATCATCAAGCAACTGAGCCATCCAGCCTCCACCTCCTAGCCACATGCTTGATGGATCGGTGCGGTTGTCGTGCTTTGGCACAGAAGTGGCTTTGCATGAGATTGCGGCCGCAATGCCGACAACATACTATGCAGCATCGAATCAGTGCGGCTCAGAATTGGGTGATTCCGCGCCTTCTTGTAGGCTTGCGCTGGAAAGCAACCCTACTGAGTCATGAACCGCTTGATTGAGCTTTGCACATGGAGTCGCAGCCAGAATTTTGACATCTATGTTCTACATCCTGCAAGAACAAGTCGCGTTGACAACCAAAAATCAACACTTGCACAAGTTGCTCAGTGTTTCCTGAAGCTCTTCCAGAGGTAGGGCAGGGTAGGGCAAGCACCGTTGCGAAGCCGGGGCACGATTGAAGGTCACAGGTTTGTGGCCAATGCAGTCCAGTCCGACAATGTATTGCAAGGTGGTAACAAGCGATAGAGTGCAACACCCACATATGGGAGATGAAGCCGAAACAAAATCCTAGACTCCTCGAAAGGACTCAGAAATGTCCACAGGCACGGCATTCCCTGAATATTCAGAATAGCAAACAGCGAAATTCTTCAGCCGAAAGGCCCCTCGCGGCTACGACACCAGGCTGTGGCAATGGACAGGCGGGTTTGGATTTGTCGCACGCCTTTCGTCTTTCGTGTCAGGTCTTCAGACTGGTCCTCGTTTACAGCATGCTTGGTGTTTGATTTTGAATTTGTGCACGACAGTGTTTTGGGTGAAGTACCCTGAGCCGGCCAGATTTCACCGACAAAAGGACTCAGTATGGCCGGTGTCTTCAATGCACCTCCTTTGTGAAACGAAGCACCAGCTGTTGACCTGCGAAGCTCGCTTGTGCATGTGAAACTATTGTGGAGCTCAGCTCTGGAGTCCGTTGCGATTGGGTTTGAAGGGTTTCCAAACATTGGATAGCACATAGCAGAATCTGCTATGCATGCTCGGAATTCGTCGGGCCTTTCTTCAGACATGCCTCCTTTGAAAGTTCAGAGCACTCCCAGTTGGCAGAACCGCATGGTTCGTTTCTACGCAGTGGGCAGAGGAGCATTGCGTTGCATTGACCGTGCAGTGCCATACAGGTGCTGCGGAGGACGAGGAGGAGCTGCGAGTTGGTGAAGATGACAAGCTTCACGGCTGCATCCAAGGCTGGCCCCAAGGTAGCGACAGTGGCGGCCCTGCAGGGTTGAGGCTGGGTTCGGGCGATTGACCCCTGCAAGGACTCTGGAGCTCAATGTACCCAGACGCACGGCGCACGGTTCAGTCTCGCGAAGTACATGGAGCCGGGCCAGCTACTCGTAGGAGGCTAACGGAAGCCCTTATGTCGGAGTGCGTGGCACGCGAATCATCGGCAGTTCCTTGTTAAGCTCCGGAGCGCCAATGAATGATCCGAACAAGCTTTTGCCTCCACGGCGATGGGCCCAGGTGGCCACTCAAAACGGTCCGTGATTGACTCCGGAAAGATTCATGATTCGGATCACTGGAGAGCATGCCTCATGACACCGCTCGCTCTTCCATTGTCGTGCCGTTCTCCTCATCCCAACTCTTAAACTTCCCCAAGAAGTGGCCTCCAACAAAACGTTCGGCCTAGGCTCTGTGTTCGGCGCCTCCAGAGATTCTCCGGCGAGCCTATGCCAGTCCGCTGGGATTGCGATGGTGGGACCTTTGTTGTGAGTGACTGGGCCCTGACTGGCCGATCGAATTGTCTTTGTTGTATTCAAGATAGTATTAGTATTCCTATCAATGCTGTGTGACGTGACGAATCTTGGTATCTGCCATATTTTCGCCTGCCTGCCTGCCTGCCTGCAGCCTGGATGGATGGATGGATGGATGGATGGATGGATGGATGGATGGATGTTTATGTGTAGATGTGTCTAAGCTACGGGCTGAGGTGTACAGTGTGCAGTGTATCTTAGGGGTACTGGACACTGCTTTTTAAGGCTGACGCACTCCCAGGCATACCCGTGCCAGAAAGCACCCAAGCATCTCTGATATGTCTGTTTCAGGTGTATCAGACTATTGTGTCATAGCATACCCAAAAGGGTCCTATCATACCCAAGGTCATTCCTTGTGAATGATCACTCAAAGCTGATCCATTGTGTTGATAGTTTTCTGCCAAGCAGTTCCCAGGCTGATCCAATGCTTTATGCGATCCGAAGCATACCCAAGCTGATGGTGCTATCCGAATTATACCCAAGCTGAAGATGATGTTTCGTCTCGTTTCGCCAGCCACCCAAAGCTGATCCAGCATTCGTGTGATCTTCGTCTCGTGGCATTACATTTCCATTCGAAGCATTCGTGTTTTAGGGCAAGGGAGCTTGTTGTGCTGCTATTGTTGTTCTTCGTTCAGTCGTCGTCGTCGTGTTCCTGCGTTGCTCCTGCTCGCTTGTCACCGTCTTTTTCGTTCGTGCAGATGTTCCAGCCACGGTTATTGTGGTGTTGATTGTTGTGTCGTTCGGTCGTCGTCGTTGTTGTTGCTCGTTTGCTTTCTTGTGTCTTTAGCACGTTCGCGTCGTTGTTCTTGTTGTTGTCGTTGAGGGTATGATCTTAAGGGTTTCGGTTTTTTTCTCGGAGATTCTGTCTTTATTGCTTCAGCTTGTCTAGTTGCTCTGTTGACAGCCGGTTACAGCCGGAATTGTGTGTGTGTGTGGAAATCCTGTATCTAAAGATCTCGAATCGTAAATTGCTGCAGAGAAGCAGGGGTGCGGTTCAATAAGTATTAGTTTATTAAGAAGACGACGACGACAAAAGAGACGACGACAAAACACTGGAAAGAAAAGATGCAGGCGCAGATCGAAAGTCTTTGAGCATAAAGACTTGGCCCAGCTATATGAGATCACTATTGGCTTGTCTTTCAGATTCAGGTTGCGATTTTCAATCGTTTGTCTAGCTATTTTGTTGACAACCGGTCCTACTGGGGCCGTGTGTGTGCAAATCCTGTCTCCAAGGATTTTGAGTTGTAACTTTCGCGGTAACAGTATTTTTGAAGAAAAGCAGGGGGCCATCCCTCTTGTCATTGGTGGATGGCCAACGAAGAGGCCAATGACAAGAGCTGAGAACGTACCTGCACATAGCTTGAGCCTTGAGACTCAAACAATCAGTTGTAGCGCTCATCTAGTATTCCGTGCCTTTCACAACAACCCTCAAAAGCAAAGCTTCCAGAGGCCTCAACATTTACAACCTGAGCTAGTTTAATGCATGAGATGAAAAAGTATCAAGGAAAAGAGGCCGAAGAGACCACAAGACAACCGGCAAAGACCGGATTTCCATGTGTGTGTGTGTGTGTGTGTGTCTGTGTGTATGTCTGTATCAGTGTCAGCTGTGGCTCTGAATCCTAAACCAGGCCCGTCCCAAAGCTTCACGCCCTTTATCTGGCACATCATCTTGATCGGACTAGGGGATTGTGTGCGAAATTCCGGAAGCCATCTGACAGACAGTCTTGGTCAAGGTGGCGGTTTGGGCGGCATAGGCGCGTGCCCGGGATATACTTGTCAATGTTGTGATGGCTCCGATCTCCGTAGCCCCCCGACAGTGCAGTGGTGCAATGGGCATGAGAGGATATGACACGAAACAAATTCCGGGGACATGCAGGTGTACTGGGCTAGCCGCTACAAGCTGAGTTGAAAGCCTTTCAGGCTTATGCTGTGCCGCCTGGTTGGCACCGCATGCCTCTGCTTTGGTTTTGTTTGGCAGAACAGCCCGGCCAGAGGCAGGCTTTCGATGAAGTTTTGGAATGTGGAAGTTACGGATGTTGGGTTTGCAGGCATGTGATCCCCTCAAGCCAGAGTATGATTCGGGTTCCACTTGTTTCGCATGTCTGCAGCAGGCATCCCGTCGATTGGTACAAATGACCACCGGCTCGTGTGAGATCTCCGTGCGCTATGGGGACCTTGTGCAGAGGTGCTTTGCCTGGGATTTTGGGAACCTCAAGCCTTTCAGTCGCTGTCATCCTTCGTTGTTTGAGCGCCATGCGGCCATTGCCCTGCGACTTGCAATTTTGCCCACGGTAAATGCGCCACTGCAGCCTCGCCCTGAAGCCTTCCAATGTCTGAGCGCTTTTCGGGATATTGGAGTTTGAAACCAGCATCGGCGAACTCGGTTTTGCAGGTTTGTCTTCCATTGAACCCGAAAATTGAACCCGTTTGTCCTCGGGTTGCGAGGCTCAAGGTCCGGCTTGCATGTGTCACTTGCTTGCACACTTCTGCTATCTCCCTTGCATTGAGCCATGTTGCATGGAAAATCCTTCGAGAGCCTGAGCCGCCTGCCGCCTCCGAGAAAGCCAGAAGTGGCGGGGCTAGACGTGGAGGTCCTCAGCAGACAGTCTTCGACCTCCTGGCCCCAGAAGGACAGAAGTACTCTTCGTTTAGCAGCATTGTGAATACAAAGACTAACTTCCTCACTAAGTGACTAAGCGCGGTGTCTGTGATCAGAAGGAAGAGAGCAGCGCGGAGCCCGTGCCATCGTCTCTGTGGCCGGAAGCATGGCATCTCGTGCCAGAGGATATGCTGTCAGCCAGCGACGTGTCGGAGACCAGCTCTGTGATCACACGGAGGTCATTCTATTCCGACGTCATGCCAGATGCAGCCCTGGCTGAGTTTGTGGATATCCTTCCTCCGAACAAGATTCTGCACGACATGTCAAATGGTCGCATACAGGCATTCCTCAAGGACTCGACCCTCTGCCTAGACCCCCTTCGTCAAGCCTAAAGTCCCACATACGCCCTGAAGGCATGTGTAATGGTCGCATGTTCAAGGAAGCTTCAAGCCGAGGTTTCTGCACTTTACCTTGTTGCTCTGGCCACATGCATCTGCGCGAGGAGATCACCGACTCACCGAAGGCACTTCAGTCCGAGGCGGAGACCCTAGATGTTGATGCGCAACCACGACTTGTTCTCGCCGTTTCCATGTCGCTTCGTCTTTGCCGTTCTCACGCTGTATTACTAAACTGATAATCCTTGTTATCCCTCTTATGCTGCTGTTGCTGCTCCTGTGCCGCTGCCGCAGCTTTTTCGGTGCAGGCCATGGCTTTTACTGCTGCCATTGCTACTGCTCCCCTTGCCATCTACGTGCCTACTACTACCACTACTACGATCACGACTACTGTTACTACTGCCACTGCCAATGCTCTGTACTGGTAGTCGTAGTAGTCGTAGTAGTAGTCTGCTACTCGACGACGACGACGACTGCCATTACCACCACCAGCAGCACCACCACCACTACCACAATAACTACCACTACCACTAGCGCTAGCACTATCACTAGCAACTGGCACCACGATCCCTTCAATTGCCACTCCCACTACGACTACGACGACCACTACTACTACTACTGCTGCTGCTGCTACTACTACTACTACTACTCCTGCTGCTGCTGCAGTACTGCTCCTGCTACTACCTCCTCCTCCTACCCCTCTTGCTACTACCACCACAACAACAACAACTACCACTACGACTACGACTACCACTAGCGCTAGCACCAGCACTAGCAAGCAAGCATTAGCACGACCACGACCACTACCACGAGCACCAGCACTAGCACTACCCCTACCCGCACCGCTACCGCTAGACCACGACCACGACCACTACCACTACTACTACCACCACAACAACAACAACTACCACTCCGACTACGACTGGGACTAGGGCTAGGACTACCACTACCACGACCACTTCCACTGCCAGTGACTCCCATTGCTACTGCTACTGCTACAGCTAAGGCTAGGCTACTGCTACATAGTACTGCCGCTGCTACTACTATCACGACGACTACTAGTCCTGCTACCGCGATCGCTACTACTACCGCTGCTACAACTCCTACTGCTGCTACTGCTAGTGCTACTAGTACTACTAGTACTACTGCTACTCCTGCTGCTGCTGCTGTTGCTACTATGACTATTACAATATAGTACTGCTGCTAGTACAATTACTACAAGTGGTATTATTGGTACTAATACTACTACTACGACGACGACTACTACTACTACTACTACTGCTACTACTTTTGTGCTGCTACCGCTATTGCTTCCACACGGCCCCGGCAATCCACCTCCTTCATGCCTCATGCTCACGTTCGGTCGTTATCATGATTACCACGTGTAGGATGCGAGGGTCCGACACTGACAACTGTCTCGCATGTAACGCGACCGGCATCGTCCCATCATGCAAATCACGGGGCTGGCATGCCGCCGCTGCCGTTGAAGAGCGATCCAGAATCTCAAAACCACGGTTGCTACCAGGCTAAGATGAGGCAGGATACTCCGGCTCCTGCTCCTGCTGGTGCTGCTGCTGCTACTGCTGCTCCTGCTACTATTCTACTAAGATTTTGGCGACGATGACTGCTGGTACTGCTGCTGCTGCTGTTTCGTGCTGCCAGACTACGACTCTCACGATAATGTTGTCACTTTCACAGCTGCTTTCAACACCACATTGCCCTGACTGATGGCGTACTGCTGCTGCTGCCCCGCCGCTTCGATAGCTGACATTACTGTTGCTGCTGCGGTCCTCTGTGTGCTTCGACGTCGCTGTGGCGGTTGTCGACGTCCTCGTCGTTGTCGTCGTCGCTTCTGTTGTTCTCAAGCGCATTGTTAAGTAGACTGTAGCCATTGTCGTGATTATTATCGCTGTTGTGTTGTCGCTTCGCTGTCAGTACTTTGATACCTGGTGTCGTGGTCGCAATTGTCCCGAGTTTTGCATTCGCCGGTTTGCATGCCACTAGTTGCGCAACTGCACACAACCCATAGCAGATCGAGCGAACCATCAGGCCGAAGCACCGAGCATTACATAGGAACGTGTTGCATCATTTGCTCGAAGTCAAACTGTTGTTTGTCACAGGCCCCACCTGCTGCAGTGCTTCATGCCGCGAGGTCATGCGTCGGCGCAAGGGCGCCCCGGTGGTATCTGAACAGCAGCCGCTGCTCCCGTCCATTTGGAAGATGCTGAATGGCAAATGACACGAGCCTGAACTTTCAGAAGTCAGCCAAGCGAATGTTTCGAGGGAAAAATCCCTCAACCCCAGATCTTGGCGGTTCAGGTGCAATCCACCGCTAAGGCTGGCTAAGGCTCGTGGATAGCGAAGGCTTTCCACGACCAGTTTGTAGTTGTTTAAGTTGGTATCAGGACGTCGGTAGACATGAGCCGGGCCCGGGATTTAAGACGTCAGTGGCTTGACTAGCAACTGCTTGACGACGATTGGGTTCAGCAGTTTGGGTGTTTGCCACAGGATGAGGTTTGGAATGCTTGTAATGGAGTGGTTGGTGATACACACAGCAATGACTGCCATACGGCTTGAGAAGGCATGCAGTATTCGGACATGTCATTTTCTGCAGGGAGTGTCCACAACCCCTCAGGTAGGTCGAAGGCATGCTGACAGTCATGGAAGTGCGTCACGTCTTAACTTCCTTGCCGGCCAAGAAGAACACATCCGACAACCTACCTCGTTTTAGTGTAGCAGGGTCCAGGTAGCTTCTGGGCGAACCTGCATCGCTGGTTTCGACAAAGCATATGGCACCTGGCAGTGATGACATTCCCGTCACACTAGTATTTCATGCAGAGTGCTGCCACCATATGCTTGACGGAAGCAGCCATCTGGGACAGACTGCGGAGCCCCCACATATGCTGAATAAACCATAGAGCGACAGGCGCCACATAAGAAGTTGTCAGACCGAGCGAGTCTTCTGAATCTTCTGGAAGGAAGTGGAGCAAATAGTGGGGATCGCAGCCCTTGGCTTGCCAAGCTTTCTCTCTTGTATATCTACTCGCGCTCTCTCCCTCTCTCTCTCTATTTCCTAGTTTCACTCTGTCTCTGCTACTCTCCATTCATCAATCTCTGTCTTTCTCCGTTGATGTGTCCCTCCCTCAATCTCTCCCCGTCCCACTGTCACTGTCTCCATCTGTGCGCGTGCTTTACTTTTTGCCGACACGTGCGATCCGATTCGCCGGTAAAGCTCGTGGCCTTGAGGAGAGACATGACGCGTCTCGGGCAAACCATTGCTAGCAACATTCGGAGTGAGAGTACGCGAAGCGTTCCCTCGCCTCCTTTTGTTTCCCTACAATGACAAGCCGCCCTGTGGCGCGCTGACGTGACATGTGCTGCATGGCACAGCAGTTGTGACACCCAGCCAGGGTCTGCATGATGCGGGGCAAACGTATAGCATGCCCCAAAACAGGCGAGTGTTCGCGAGGAGCCTATGAGACAAACATCTACTATTGACGTCAGGCTTTCAAAGCCGGATGCGGGCGGTAGTCTGTGATAGGGTCAAAGATCTGCTCGTGCAGGTCTTCGGTCGCCGGCTTGCGCGATCTGCTGGCTGGCCAGGAGCGGCGAGGACAGAGCTCCACATCGGCCCGCCCAAAGAAGGCCACTTTGAAGGCCCAACTCTCGAAGGCCGTGAGGGGAAGCCCCAAGGAGGGTATTTCGACAGCACCTCGGCTTCAGCGTTTACTTCGTGATAGTTTCGCAGCCAAGCCGCAGCTGTGGTCTGATCAGACTGCGTGATGGGTCTCGCCAAGTCTTTGATGGCTGTTGCGGCTCGAAGTTGCAATTGCAGAAACTGTGGCTGCCGACAAGGTGACATGAACGGTAGGGCCCGGTAGAGCTGTCCGACAAGGATGGTAAACAGTCAGCTTTGGCATCCCGGGCTGGACGCATTGGGGTTGGGTTTTCCGATTCCAAAACGGGCCGGTGAGAGCCATGCCGTCGACAGCAAGGGGAGTCTTCGCAACATCTCTGAGTCCGCGTCCCGACGCTGACGGCACGACAAGGCCACAGGGCGCATGCACAGGTTAGCAGTGGTGATAGGACCGAAAGAAATGCCGCGGCATTGCGACCTGGCAGGCGCGAGGCCCTAAGCAGCATTAAGCCTCTGCAAAACACCGGCATGCCTCATTCCAGTCACTTGCAGTTGCTCCGGCACGCTTGACTGATCAAAGTGCTGGTCACCTGGACACATGTGGGTCACTACTGTTTTGCATTTGTGTACACCAGCAGCTGGCACTAAGTGCATGAAAGAGCACCGGTCGGAGGTTTGCAATGCCTGGTTACTGGTTGGTCGTAAAGGCCTCGCAGGAAAGAGTGCAGCATGAATGCTACCGCCACGATGATGCATTTTTATTGAATTCATTTTATATCTGTCTCCGCCTGGATCCAACGTTTGACATGTGCACCTGGCAATGCGCATGGCATTGTGTTCTGACACCACATATGCAAGCTTGATGCTCCGGGAAAGTTAACGCAGTCGAAATCCCTTCTCGTCCCTGTGAAACGCCTTTGCAGATGAGGTCACTTGTTGCGTGAGTCACACCATGAACTTCAAAAGATGTACTGTAACAAGTGTCTGCGGGTGGCACTCCGCCAACCCAGGGACAATTTTCATGGGAAGGAGGCGGGCCCAATGGAAGCCACGAGAACACCAACGTCTGTGTGGAGTACCGGTCGTGTTTTCGAGAGTTTCCCAGGGAGGCCTATGAAACAATACTTCGTGTCGCAGAGATAGGTTTGTTTGTCAGTGTCTCTAGTTGTACATTACATGCGCATGTGGTTTGAAAGCCGTTTCTGCGATGCCAGTCTGGAGCCTTTGCCAAAGCTAACGATTTGTTGACAGGTGTTGCCATAACATAGTGTTCAAACCTGGAGACTAGGAGATGCAAGATGGATGAACAAGACGTTGAGGAATGCCGCTAGGTATGTCATCATGTGAGTTGTCAGGCGGTCTGTCCCTGCTTGCCTTAGGCCTTAGGCTACCTTATGCACCTGTAGAAAGGAGCAGGAACCTCGGTGCTGAAAGTGAGCCGCATAGCGCCATAGCATTGAAGAAATCGAAGTTGCTGGCCTTCGGACTGAGGCGGCTGAGGGTTGTGCAATGTGCCTTTTCTGAAAGCTCTTCCCGTCCTCGAGGCTGTCATTCCTAGAGGTGGAAGCGGCCAATGGAGAGGAGACGATGCTGCTTGAAGGACTGGGACCGAAAACCAGGGACTTTCGCGGTATTGTACTTCAACCCAGAACCTGGCTTGTTTCTCCCAGCCCTTAGAAGGCCAAGCCTTGGTCCTGCAGTTCCCGAAGGGCCTTCTCCAACAACAACGCAAAGCAGATTCTCTGTCGTTTCTGCTTGTGGGCATTTGCAGCCTCTTCATGAGTCTCTTATATGACGGTAATCAACTCTGACTCTGCCCGTGACTCTGGCTCTTGCTTGTTGTTCTTGTTCTTCATGCTTCCGCCGTGGTTCCGACCTGTCGGTCGAGTCAGCTTTATAAGTTTATAAGCCAGGAGTCATCGAATTTGCTGTTCCCCATGGCTTTGCAAGGGCTGCAGCGGTTCATGGTTTTAGGATGTGGGAGCGACTGTTGTCTTTATGCTGGGTTTTAGAAACCGGGTGGGAGTCGTCCTTCCTTTCTCGCGACCCTGACCCAGCAGGAGGAGGGCTGGTTGCAAACCCTTACCTTGGAGCAATCACGGAGTCCTGTGACATTACTCTGCAGTCGCCTCGCACAACGACAGATGTGGCCTGTTTGCAGGGGTCTCGAGGGCAGGATCTGACTCTGCACTTGAGATTGTGTTCAGGCACTTGGGATTTCTTGGGAATGTCGATCGGCCTGTGGGCGGGTGCAGCGATCTCGATGCACGTACGCTTCCTGTCAATCAGGGCCATTGTCTGGCTGCTCAGTCCGACGCCGACATTACATCGCCCCCCCCAAACTGCGAAGTACGATTCGGGCTGGCTTTTCCCTTGCAACTTACGCTGCAACATGTTGAAGTTGGGATCTAGTAGTAAAAAAGACTTCCTAGGACAAGCATTCATTTGCAGAGGCCGTGGTCTGTTCCTTCTACCGGCCGTCCCCGCCTCAGAACAGACTGTTAGTCAACAGCCCGCGGCTGTTTAGATCGACTAGCATTCAGCATCTGGAGCAGAGTGAAGCGCGTCAGAAAGCGAGACGCAATGAAAGCACGGGGGCTGCTCACGTTTTTGCATCATCCCCTAGACTCCCACGCCGTTTTCTTTACTCAATGATGCGTGAGTGTTCTTCTGCAGTGCCGCTGTTCTGGCCCTTCGAATCTCACATCGTCTTGTGTCGTTGTGTTTGCGCCAGCGTGCGAGGCATTGGTTATGTTTCTGCTTGACACTTCTGAGACTCAGAAGTCCTCACAGCAACTGCAAACAAAATGTGTTCAAGCTTGCGGAAATACTCGTTGACGCATAGTCTACTCGCATGAACGGCCGCGCTAGTGACAAATTCACGGTCCGCAAGGATAGGCGGGATGGAGCGTGGAGAGGGCGAGCAGTGTGACCAACATCCAGGCAGTCACAACTAGCGGCATGAAGAGAAACATATCTTTGGCCAGAGGAGCAAGGGCAGTCTTTGGACACAGAACGGCCGTTTTCCTTGTTGGCGAAACGATGCCTGAAGCAGCACCAGGTAGCAATTTGCGCCAAACTGCAATGGAAGCATGTACTGTGGGGTGCATGCGTTGGTTTTCAGCAGCGGGCAGATTGTGAACACGAAGATTTTGAAGGATGCTGGGGGTTTTGCTGTCATTAGTTCTGAACTGTTTCCAGCGTTCTTGCAGGCTTTACATCACTCTCCTGGGCTGCTTCGTGGTTGCTGCACTCGTGACATCGCCGTTCTCTTTGAAGCAGGCATTCTTGCAAATCGTCGTTCTGCATCAACCCAAAGCTCTTGCCAGCTTACCCTCCTCCGCCAGTCCCAGTGGGTGCATTGCTTGCATGGTGTGACTAGCACATCTACCTTTTCAAGGCAGGGGAAGAATGCACCCTTGTAGCCGTAAGGTCCATCATTCGCTTTGGTCAAGTTTGGCTCTGCAATGCAAAGTCGTAGTTTCTGAGGGGCACCAAGTTCCATGGTCTGGCATTTTGCGCTGCGAGATTGATGCCAGGCAAACCCCTGGGGACTACTGGCGCTCTTTCTGCCGAAGCTGGATCAGGTGCCGCCCAAAGAC